AATGTGAGAATTATACGACCGTGTAGTTTACTGTTATATTTCTGTTCCTTATAGATTTGAATCACCAGTTGATAAAGTTCCTGTTGCAGCTTCTTCTGTGGAAGAAGAGTCACATGATCACGAGATCTTTTAGATTAGCCGACAGCACAGCTTCACGTGGACGTGAAGGGGAAAGCCCGGGTTGGTTTGCAGAGTTAGAACCTGATGGACGTGTCAGGGTGACTCCAGACAAAGTAAACGAGCTGTGTACAGGTCCTTCTTTTGGAAAAGGCTTTAGGCTTAAAGCTGCTCTCTGAGTTCTGTCTCCCAGTAACACTCTAAAACCCAGTCTAACCCTGAAGTGGTCGCCCACTGTCTTTAATGACCACAGCCCCGCCCACTACAACAGTAACAGCCACCTCAGCATCCCTGAACACTGAACTGGAACAAAGGAACCACACTGGTGCACTGTGATGATGCTCGACAGCTCCACACTGACACCACTGAGGTGGATGTCACAGCCAATCGGAGCTTTTCAACCTCCATGCTTGGTTTAAACAGATTGGGCGATCCCTCCTTCCTCTCTCTTTCTCCCCTTGGTTTCCTTGGTGACAGGTGTGTCACCTATCAATAACATCACCATCATAACTCTGTGGGTTTGAAGTCTCAAGACTGTGACAAGATGTTACACGTGAAAGACACACATCACCATTTGTATATCACACAACCCAAAGGTGTGTGTGTGTGTGTGTGTGTGTGTGTGTGTCTTACCCTCAGAGTGTCTCTTCTTGGTGTGGTATGCGAGTGCAGCAGCCACGCTGAAACTCATGTCACAGTGTTTGCAGTGGTAGGGTTTCTCCCCCGTGTGCAGCCTCATGTGATTCTTCAGAGACGAGTTTGCACCAAACTTGGCGCCGCATTCATCGCAAGCAAACGGCTTCTCTTCAAAGTGCTCCGTGCGCTTGTGGTAAATCATGCCTAAGAAATGAGAAGCACTCATTAAATGAAACGATCGCTGCACTGTGAAGCGCACACGAGTGGGCCCCACACGAGTGGGCCCCACACGAGTGGGCCCCACACGAGTGGGCCCCACACGAGTGGGCCCCACACGAGTGGGCCCCACAC